AACAGACAAATCCATGCCTCAACAAAACTAGGTTGAGCAATCACCTTGTAAAGAACTGTTTTCCAAAGCCTGAGAAAAAGCGAGGCGACAACTATGAGGGATACTTTTGACAGTAGTGTGATAGGCATTTTATGAACACGATCAAGGAGCCCACGTCAAAACCAAACCCCCACTAAAGGATAGTTGCGGACTCTTTGGTAGACAGCTTTTTAAACATACCGACAATGTAACGACTCAAGTCGTCAGCCCCTGTAATAAATCGAACATGGCCATCCGGGTGATGACAAGGACGACTAACCCACATGGAAAGTCATATACTCCCAAACATTCATTAAATCCTTCTATTATTGTTTTGTCAAAAGTTATTATCAAATGGAGCTTATTTTTAATTTTTTTGGAACGCCCGAATATTATTAAAAAACCAGCTAGGCACTCGCAAAGGAAAAATACATAAGCAAGTTGTTACGTTTCCGAAAATAAATCCAATTATACGAATAAGGAAAGACATTATTATACAAACCATCTTTCATCAACTTCGAGTCTCCAAAGATCAACGTGTTCAGGTAAATCCACAAGTAGCAACTCTTAATAAGCAAAAGCATGTTAGATTCATTAAGGAATCTCCACGAAATATGGGCACATTTACTTACACTACGTTTACTTACACTGCATGGCTTGGATCAACCCAACATCATTCAGAAAAAGTTATAGTAAGTTTTATTAGTACAAAGTTGTTAATCCGCTCAAAAAATATCTCACACGAAATATGGGCACAAGTTCTTACATGAAAAATGTATCAACTAAATTTTGCCATGACAATGAAGGCTTGTAATTACATACAACACACTACACACCATAAATGAAGTCCAAAAATAATCATATAACACTTAGCAATAATCTAATCTGAAAATCCTCTACTGATCCGTTTTTAACATCCGTACAAAATGTGTTATTGGACTAAATTCAGTTTCTTTTAAAAACTTCATTGTGTTATTTGTTCTTCACAGCCTGTCCAAATATAAAAAAACAAATGTAATTAAATAGCAATGAAATGGATTGACGTTTGAGTGAAAAAAAGAGTTTCTTTTGTGACCTGAATGACAATTTTACCCTTGATAACATGTTTTGACCATTCCATTAATATTCACATGTTTATTGATCATGTTCTTAATACTTACAGTGAGAGAAGGATTATGTCGTTGATTTTCCTTAGTGATCTTTCTGTATTAACGATTCAACCTGAAAATATTAGCAAAATCATGATTTAACTTTTTATTTGTTTATTATTAATTTATAGCATCCTACTTTCATTTATTTTGTTTACACCACAAAAATTCCCGTTTTTTCTTATTATAGCATTCACTTTGAAAAAGATTTACAATATATATGCAGTGAAAATCAGTCTGTATTTGGTTTGATATTGCTATATTGGTACAATGTACCGAGTCATACTTGACTCAGTACAAGTCGGAGGGGGACTCAAAATTTGACCGAGTCAGACACCGCTGTTGCCTCCTTTCAGGTAAAAGTGACTCGACGAGTCAGGGACTCGCCAAAATTTTGACCGAGTCGACTCTTTTCAGGTATAAAATGGACTCGACTTGGTACGAGTCAGGCATGGACTCACACTTTTTGACCGAGTCAGACACCAAGTCGCCTCTTTTCATGTATAAAGTGACTTGACTCGGTACGAGTCAGGCAGGGACTCGCAAATTTTGACCGAGTCAACTCTTTTAAGGTATAAAATGACTTGACTTGGTATGAGTCAGGCACAAAATTTTGACCGAGTCATACACCGAGTCACCTCTTTTCAAGTATAAAAAGACTCGACTCAGTACTACTAGTCTCGAAAATTCTGACTGAGTCATACCCGAGTCGCCTTTTTCAGGTATTAAAAGACTCGACTCAGTACTATTAGGCAGGGAATCGCAAACATTGACCGAGTCACATACCGAGTCGCCTCTTTTCATTTTATAAAATGACTCGACTCGGTACGAGTCAGACAGGGACTCGCAAATTTTGGACCGAGTCAGACACCGAGTCGCCTCTTTTCAGGTATAAATGACTCGAGTCGGACAGGGACTCGCAAATTTTGACCGAGTCAGTCACCGAGTCACCTCTTTTCAGATATAAAAAACTCGACTCGTACGAGTTGACTCGTGATACATACGAGTTTGACAAGTATGAGGTAGTGTTGTCAATTGTTATAAGAAGAATGAAAGTATGATGGAATATAAACACAATAAATGGAAGTACAAGTGTGTTGCTAGCTATTAAAATTGAAAAAGGTGGGAGTGGGAAATGGGGTTGTTTATATACTGTAGTAAATTAGAAGAAATAAAAAAAAGGACTCACAGCATTTTTATTTTGCTTGTGATATCAGCAGCTTTAACAGAAGCAATGCGTAAAACACTGCATGATGACACTTTGTAAGACGCCTTCACCACCAGCTTTTTGAATGGCACACACTTCACCATTTGTGTTCAGTGTTGCAGTCATTGATCCTCCCATCAACCCCTCTTCATGGTGAGTTGGGTCAATTACCTATTTTGCCATTTATAATTTTAAAAAAAAAAAAACACCACGAAAGTTTTTGAAAGGAATATATTCCATAGAAAAGAAAACTTGATCTAAGTAACTGAAAATCTGTTAACTGGAATGGAATCAATTGTTTTATAATTTTGTTTATTTTATTATTTATTTAGGGGTTAATCTCAGAAAAAGAGCTTATATTTGTGTTTTTCCGGATTATTTAGTCAAAATTTGATTTTTGTCTGAAAAGACCTTGTATTTTCTCATTTTTTTCCGATCTGGCCCCTTTTAGTCATTTTTTCAAAAAAAAAAACGGGTCAGATTCATAAAGACCGGATATTTTGGTTTTTTTTTCCAGATTAAAAAGAACCTTGTATTTTTGTCATTTTTTCCTGAAAAAAAAAACCCTCAACTGTGTCGTTTTTTCCGATAAAACCCTCAAACTTTCAAACTGTTTCGGAAAAAACCCTCAACTTTTTTAGTTTTTCTCGAAAAAACCCTCACATTTTACAGAGTTTTTTCGGAAAAAAATGAGTAAAAGGGCCAGATTGAAAAAATGAAAAAAAAAATGTAAGGTCTTTTTCAAGATTAACCCCAAAAAAAATTGTATAATGTGAGGGCTTTTTTAAGAAAAACTAAAAAAATTGAGGGTTTATTTGGAAGCATTTAGAAGGTTGAGGGTTTTTTCGGAAAAAATAAATACAGCGTTGGTTTTTTTCAGAAAAAAGAAAAAATACAAAGATCTTTTTCAGGCAAAAACTAAATTTAAGGTTTATTCCGGCAAAAAAAACACAAAATATAAAGACTTTTATGAGATTAAACCTTTATTTCTACATTGACATAATGGGGTTATATTGGTCTTTTAACATTTAATGGAAGGAACAGAATTGAATTCCTTCAAAACTAGGAAGGATAATGATTCCTTTAATTATATATTTACCATTAATGAAAAACTATTTGATTACAAATAATATTAAAAATATTATTGAATTCCAGTCAAACAAACAAGTGATATTATTACAATTCCTGTGAAAGATTCCATTCATTAAAGATATTCTGTGGACCAAAAACGCCCCTGAAGTGTAGAAAAAAAAAAAGAAAACATAAAAAGTTCATTTGGGCTTACCACAATGTTTTCTTTACCATAAAACCCAAATGTTACTGCCACTGGAAGATGGTGGATTATTAGTGGAAGTGGCTCCCCGCACCTTCAAATCAACATATCATAAATTAAACAAAAAAATTAAAAATTTAAGAATTTATTAAAACAATAACTGAAATTATAAAAAATAAATGTTTGCAGACAAAATCAATAAAAATGTCACATCACATTTTTGGAGTTTGACAATTCAAAAGAAAAGTTGACCAACATGGCATAACAATACCCATGTTCCAAAGTTTGTTGCTATTAGAGACTAGCTACCCTTTGAAAGAAGATTTGTGTAATAATATATTAACTCTTTAACATATTCAATAAAATCAATAAAAAAAAAACTAAAAAAAAATAGTAGAAACTCACCTCTGGTGGATGTACAATGACTTCTTGATCATTTCACCTCCAATTGTACATTCAGGCCTTCTAAATGTGATTAAGGCAGCCAATGCAGCACTATTGGACAGCATCAACCAGATTTCTGATCAATTGAGAAATTTAACCATTGTAATAAAACTGTATTTTAACTTTAAATACAAGAATAACAACATCCTTTATTTATTAGTTATAAAATCATTATTAAAGCATTGTATATCAATTTGTTCTTATGAAGGCATTGCTCTTGAAGAATCTTCCCAATTATAGCAGTGAAAATTGCTATAATCGTGTAGAGTTTTCAAAGTTTAATGTATGTTGTAACTTGTAATGATAAAAAAAAATGAAAGTAGGGTGCTATGATAAACAAATACACAAATTATGGTGCTAGTTCTTGAATTTAACCAAATAAACTTGAGGAAATGAAGAAAAATGCAAGGATTAGTAATTAGTTCTATAACTTACCCTCCATTATCGATTATGTGAAGATCAATTCGAATGGACCATACCAATTTCCCTGAAATGACACAAAGTGATTCAGTGTCTACAGTACCTGCTCCCTGCAAAGTTAATCTCATCAAGTAGGTTTGCTTTGGCTATATTCCATTTCATGAATCTGTATAGCATAAGTGTCTTAAGTGATGTTTCTCGTTTAATTAATGGCTTAATGGGGGACAGAATTTAATCCACTAAGATGTAATCACAGCTTAGAAGAAGAAAAATCGAAAATGAAGATTAAGCAACTAAAATAAAACTATCATACCTTTAAACCACGATCTACAATACGTCCTAACTCAATAGAGATTCTCCAGGACGGCCTGACTCAAATGAAGGATCCGCCATGGGTGAGAACTCGGTTAGTAGTTGCAAGTGTCCTCTTCATTAGGCCTGTCTCGATAAGGTGTACTAGTTGTCCTGTGACAAATCCCATAACTCGAGTCTGTCCAAGCTGGATCTCTGATGAACCATTTTCTCTACAATATGAAAACTCATCGTTCATCAACGAACTGTTTATTTTAGCCAAAGGAATACGAAATCAAGTGATGAGTTTGGGATTTCTTACCTTCCGAAGATGATAGTAGTTTTCTATAATCGAAAGGACGCCTACCGTCAACTCTAAGGTCAGATAGTAATGCAGACTCGATGAATTTCTTCATTCACCGTCAGTGTTTAACGTATTAGCCAATCTCTGTTCCATTAGCTCTCCTGCATTCATACTTTGCTCAAATTTCATTGTATAGCGAAACGATTGAAAATTATATTCCGACAGTGTTATACTAGGGTTTCTAAGGGAGAAGACTGATGAGGAAGTTGAAACCGAGACTGAAAGCATACATACCGACTTGCCTGTATACGGAGTAGTTGTTGCCGGTTGTTGCAGACGGCGTGGGTGGTGGCGGTTTTTCGTCTCTTCGCTTTGAGTCGAGGAGAGGGTTTGTTTTGAGGGTTTGGACCCCAAATAGACTCAAGTCTCCGACTCTTCAATTGCATAAATTTATTTTCCCTTTTTTCTTTTTCTAAAATATTTATGGAATTTAATATTCTTCTGATAAATAAGACTTTTTTTTTTTTTCTGTCGGTGTCGCATTCTAATTTATTTTGTGACATGTAATTTTATTGTTATTTTAAATTAATTTTTATTTCACATGTGATTCATAGTTTTTTATTTATTAAATTATAGATAGTATTTAAATGTTAATAATAATAAATGCATATTAATTTCATATATGAATTTTCCTTTAATTTCAAATTACAAAATTAAAGATCAGTATTGTTCTTTCTCTGTTAAGTATGAAAATTATTTATTTAAATTTAAAAAAGAAAAAAAAACTTTAATTTTATTATTCAAATTTTCTTACTTTTCTTAAAAATTGAAAACTTATCAATGTTTTAACATTTGGTATTTAGTTTTTCTTTAAATAGACTCATTTAATACATGAGTCTCACACCTAGTGTTGAGAGAAAAACTTTGAGACACACTTGAACAAACGTTGAAAAGTATAGTGCGGAATAGTTAATCTCGAGGATCTAAAAGCTCAACATATATTAATAAGTTAGAATTATATAGTTAGAGAGTTAGTTGCGGAAAAGTAAAGAAATGGAAATGACAACAATTGTTATATCAAGTATACACATAAGTTGATTCATAACGAGGAATGCATTCAAACCAAGTTAATAAGTGAGATCAAACTTAGTGATTAAGTCACAAGAGACTTGCTCAGAAGAGAGATGTAATCAGTTATATTCTAGTAAGGTTTGAGAGTAAGAAGAGATGCGTAATCAGATAGAGAGATAGATAAAAAGATAGCTTCAGAGATGTTAGATTCTATAATAAGTGAGAATGAGCTCTATTTATAGAGACTCAAAGAATACATTTGATTCACTCTCTAAGAGTAGCCATGCAAGACATACTGGACAATAGAGAGTATTACAGAAAGATAAACTAAGTAAGTAAGAAAAGACTGCGGTTGAATAGACGACTTCGGATGAGGCTGCTGATGGGAGCTTAACTGCGGGTGCTTGTGGGCTTGTAGCTGAAGTTCAAGAGGGTCACTTTTCATAATTCAACAATTTCCCCCTAAGTGACCTTTTTAACTTTTCTTCAGCTATCAAGTTTAAGAAACTTGATCAAGACCCACCAAAACTTCCTGATGTTTTCCAACCAAGTGATCCTCCTTAAAATCTCGAACTTGACTTCGGCAGTTGTGTGCTTTGATCTTTCAACTGCGGTTCGACAGATTTCAAGTTGCTTCCTGGTGAGGCGATTCATGGCAGTCATAGGAATGAAGTATTTGACTTTATCGGCCTTCCTTTTGAAAATGACTCCGAGTTCAGGAAGTTAGTTGCACCTAGGGATCTTTCTTGATAACCTTCGGTAGCATCGGTGCAGGATCGAGTGGTGTAGATCGAACTTTTTGGCAATTGTGGGGTAGATGTCTGCGTTGATTTTAGCAAAGTCACAGACAGTTTCCTTCAAAAACGTACTAGCCCTTTCAAGCGCTATCTTCATCTTCGGGTGCTTCTCCGACTTGTTTGGAACACATTTGCTATCAGAAAGATTCTTCAGGATTCAGGCAGGGGAAGTCAGCTTGGGTGCGGACATAGTCATGTTCCCTTCTTGTGATGGGTATGGATGAAGTCAGCCTTCATGAACTTCCGGGGCTTGTAGTTTTTACTGCGGATGGTCTATCGTTAGACCAGATTTTCTCTATGGAAGATGCATGTTTGGCATAGAACCGATTCAGTCTTTCGAATTCCATAGGTAGCCTCTTGTGGTCGGGCAAGTTGCGGTCAAAGGGCTCAAATAGTAAAGTACTTGGCATTGGGAGAGATTGGAACATCCCAATAACCATCAGAGGGAGGTTCCGCATAGGTAAGATATGGTTTGTAGTCGTCATCCAGCAGTCTGCGGTGGGTGGGGATTGATCAAGAGTTTATCAAGGATTCATCCAAAACATTGTCGAAAACCGCATTCTCTCCATATGAGCTCAACAAGTTTAGCTGCTTTCCAGTCTTTTTTCTTCTGTGTGTGAGAGGGGAGTCATTTGAGCTTGGAGAGGACATGTGATCCACCAGATTCTTGAAGTGAGGGGGGGTTTTGGTTTCTCAGGAGTGATCTCCTTTTGCGGTGGAGTCTGTTGCGGTGAAGGAATTCTTTCTGTAATGATGGGGGGACTTTGATGGTGTGAGATGCTTTTGGAATGATTGGAGTGAGTGATGGTCTTCTTCTTCACTTCCCCCTCTTGAGGAATGCAACGCAGGAGCATCCTCAAGCCATTGTCTGAGACCATCAACTTTGGCATAAACTTCCTGAAACTGGGCTTTAAGAGCATCCGCTAGTTGTTGATTGTTGGGGATGGTGGTGTTGAAGAGCAGCCTGTGAATTTCCTTGGTGAGTTGAAGAATTTTGGGACCATGGAAATTGGAGGATACGGATCGTTGCAGTCGGTTGATAGAGCTTGAAGAACTGAGATAGTAGACTCATATGCAGTGAGTCTCAGCTATCAGCTTTTGAGATTGGGTAGACTGGTCCGCAATGGCTGCTTGAAGGTCTTTCTTGATTGCGGTCACCTCAGAGATGAGGCGTTCCGCAGCAGCAGGAATTGCTTGTGATCTGCTTGGCGACTGTGTCCAGGGACCGGATTCCCATTTCAACTTTGAGGGAGATGCGCTCAGCAGCCAATCTCTCACGAGTTTCCACTTTTCGATCCTTTCGATCAGGGACTGCGGTCCGGGAATGTCTTTGGTTGCGGTTGTGTTGGCTTGACCGCAGCGAGAATCTGATCGACCTTTGCTTGCAGGCTTAAGAATTCTTTTCTAGTCACCACATTCTTCTTCTTCTTTTTCTTCTCTTGGGGCTTAGAGGTTGAATGGTGAGAGCCACTAGATTCTTCTTCTTCATCAAACATCATGAGATCATCATCAGAGGGAGAGGGTTGATTTACCTCCTGAAGATCAACATCATCAAAACCGAAGGTGGGAGCAGAGCTGACTTCGATTGCGGTTCATTCGTCTTGTGATATCTTGAACAGTGGAGTTGGAGGGACTTGGAGGCACTGCACATCATGAGTGGACTGAGCCTTGCGGATCGTCTCAGCCATCTCAGACATCCAATCTTAGACTTTCAGGATGGTGGCTACGGTATTGGCATTATTAATTGCGTCTGCCCAATACTTAGCCACAGAATGGATTTCCTGTTCCTTTTGTTGTTGTTGCTTGATTTGCTTATCTTTTCTTGCTTGGAATGCCCTACGGAAAGCGGCATACTTCTTGATATCGGCCTCAGACACCGAAGTGTAGTGTAACCATGAGTCGTTTGATGCTTCTCTGTCAAATCCTTGGTATCGCACCGAAGTGTCCTTCGGGTTCACGGATCCTTGCACATTTGTGCTCACCGTGCCTAAACCACCTGTTACAGATGTAAGCAGAGTAGGATTTCCTGAGCTTCCTCGGTCTCCTTGACCCGTAGTCAAGTCTGGCCTCGGCTCAGTTCCGGCAAGGGCGGCGGAAGAAGTGCCTGCGGTTGGGTTGGGAAGTGTTTGAAGTGTTTGGGTTACATTCAAGAGGATGGAGTTCAACTCCTCGAGAGAAAAGAAATGCAGTCGGGAAGCCCTGGAGACCTTAGGGCGAGAAACCAGTGTTATCCTCTTGGGATTGAACTGGGGGGGGATCTCACGATCGATGATGCGGTGAAACATACTCACTTTCTGAGTCTGAGTGGAATTCGATGGGGTGTTGAATGGGTCTGCGGCCACCCCAAGGACTACCGGAGCCTTTTGAGAGGCTGAGGTATCAGTCCGGTCACGCATTTGGACAATGGGATTGGTTTTCTTCTTCTTGAGGATAGCTATGGGTTGTGCATCCTCATTAGAATCACTATCATCTGAGGGTGCGGTTGGGTGATTTTGCGTTTCTTTGAGGGTTGGTTGGTTTGGGAGCATCTTTCTTTGGGGTTCTTGTTTTCTTGGAGACGTTGCGGGGGACTAATTGTTTGCGTCTTTGAGAGGAAAGAGTGGTGGAAGATGGGACTGCGTACTTCCCAGGAGCAATGATTGCGGATGGGGTTTGAAGAGGCGGGGTAGGAAGGTATGGGCAATACCTTCCGTAGCCTCAATATGATCTGAGACATCATCAGTCTCAAGACCAAGAGATGAGAGAATGTGGGTTGGTAGTCTTCTAATGGGTCCAAAACAGACTGATCAGATGAGGGATTGTACCTTTTGAGATCCTTGGTGACAAAGAAGTTAATGTCGTTGCCCATGCTAATTCCTGCTCCGCATGGAGGTCTGAAATGCAGAGGGACCAGAACCTTGCAAATGTAAGTTCGGTAGGGTTCTCCCTTGGGCTCTCCTTGGGAATGTATTGCAGAAAATCGTCCCATAGTAATCTGACCGTAGTTGACATCATGGCCAGTGAAGATACTCCATACTAACTCTAGGAGTTTGAGTCCCATGTTATCGTGCCTCCGGTTCTGCCGGATAGACTGCGGATGACAAAATGGCAAACGAATTGCCAAACCGCAGGCAGTTGGTTTTTCTTGAATTCCCCAATGCCTTTGATTTTATTTTGATATCCCATCTGGTAAAGCGCAGAGGTGATGTCCGCCATGGATGGAGTAAAAATCTTGATTGAGGGATGAACAGAAGGTTAATGGCCAGAGAAACTTTTCTTTAGACAGAATGACCAAGAATCTTAACAAGAAGATGCATCTTCTGTGGATCTGAGTCGATCTGATGAGGACAGATAAGTTGAAAGAGAACAATGTGAACGGAAGGTAGAGGGGACCTGGTGTGTGCTTTACTTGGAGATAATTGATAGAATTGGCAAGATTAATGTGTAAGAGATGTAACATTGTCTAATTTGTGAATGGAATGATTGATGGGCCAAACAGCTAGGTTGTTTGAGTGGTTCCAGAGGGTGATGGAGTTGATAATTAGCTTGATTGGAGAATTGTAGGATGAATGATCCTCGAACACAGCT